TGGGCTGTTCCTGATGTCAGCATGTTCAATGCACATTCCACAGACAGGAACAGTCCACCACTGGACCATATGGGGACACAGTTTTCCGTAGGATCAGCTTAGTCCTCACACCTAGAAAAAAAAAAGCAGCTGATCCTTGCAGCTCCACTGCATGGTAAAAAAAAAAAAAAAAATCTAACAGGAGTTCTGCTTTAATTCAACAGTCTGAAGTTAGAAGCTGATTGGCTACCATGCACAGCTGCACCAGATTCTGATTGCTCCAGTTTTAGTAAATCTCCCCCAATGCTTCAATGGTCCAAAGTACCCTGTGAAGGCCTCTCCATCAATGCTTCTTCCAGGGGTCAGTCTTTGGCCATCTTGATTGGCCAGTGCAGAATGATATCACTCCCATGCATGCGCAGAAGAGCAGTCACCCCAGCACAGAACCACCATGTATGTACATTCTACAGAAGATAGCGAGCAGGCAGGTAGATGGGTTTTATTATAACAGAGACAAGGCTTGTGTTTTCTGCAATAAAGAGCCTCCCTGCTCACTGTTTTTTTTCTTTTTAGACTTTAGTTCTACTTTTAGTGCCGGTTCACACTGGGTGAAGGAAACTGCGTTCCATGCACTTTTCTGCACCACATTCCAAGCACACTGGGGTACTCAAACTGTAGAGTGCAAAATCTGGTGCAGCTCTGCATAGAAACCAATCAACTTTTGTCAAAGCTTAACCACTTTAGGGCTGCCCTATAGCAGATAACCTGCTACAGGGTGGCACCTATGCACAGGATCATGTATATATACGTCATTCTGCATTTCTAGGTAAGGGGTGTATGTGAGACGCGTACATACCCTACCCACACCGCCGTTCGCAGCCGTGGATGTCAATTACTGGGTCCCAGCTTGTAATTACCTGCACCAAGCACCTCCGACAGGGAGCAAGATAGTTTGTTTACAAACAATCTTCCTCCCTGTCAGCTCAAACACACTGCTCGGGATGGCTGTGCACAATACAGCCATCCCGATCAGTGTGCTTACAGTGAAGAACACACCCCCTAGTAAAACACTCCCAGCGCACAGTTAACCCTTTGATCGACCCTCACATTAACCCCTTCCTGCCCAGAGCCATTAGTACAGTGTCAGTGCTTTTTTTTTTTTAGCACTAATCACTGTATTGGAGTCCCACAGTTCCGCAGTTCTGCTAAAAGTCACTGATCACCGCCATTACTAGTAGAAAAAAAAAAAATCCCATTATCTATACCGCCATTTGAAATGCTATAACTTTCACGTAAACCAATTAATTTACACGTATTGGGATTTTTTTTTTATTAGCAAAGACATGTCGCAGAATACATTTTGGCCTAAATTTAGGACAAAAAATTAGATTTTTTAAAATATTTTTACTGAACATGTTTTACAGCAAAAAATTCCAAAACATTGGGTTTATTTTCTCAAAATTGTTAGTATTTTTTTGTTTATAGCGCAAAAAAAATTTTAAAACGCACAGGCAATCAAATATCACCAAAAGAAAGCTCAATTTGTGGAAAAAAAAAAAGGTTGTACATTTAATTTGGGTGCAGTATTGCATGACCACGCAATTGTAAGTTAAAGTAATGCAGCGCCGTAACTCAAAAAATGGCCTGGTCATGAAGGAGGGTAAATCTTCAGGAGGGCAAGTGGTTAATTGAATAAACTGAGATTAGAAGTTGATTGGCTATCATGCACAGCTGCACCAGATTTTGCACTCTCCAGTTTTAGTAAATCAACCCCATAGGGTCTGCTGCAGGTGTCAATATATTCCCAAGGACAACCCAAATGCAGATGCAAATGCAGTGCATTTTCCTGCATCAGATCGCATGGTACTGTAGTACCATGCGATCTGGTTGCAGTGCATGCACTACTTGTAGTGAGATCCAGTTCAATTTCAGCCCACTCTGAATCACGCACGAACGGGAAGCGCCTTCCTGTGCAATTCTTGGTGTGAACTCGCTAAGAATACATGCTTGAATATATTTTTTTCAAACCTGAATTTAGTGTCACTTTAAGGCATGTTTGCAGGCTTTTTACCAAACTGTTTTTCAACTAGTGCAAGTCAATAGGAGTAGAAAAGCCCCTTGAAGCAGGTTAGAAGCAAGTCAAATGTAGGCCAAATGTACCTGTTGAGGATCTCATAAGCATCTCAAACTGATGCCACATAAAAGAAGATTGCACCTAAAAGCACGCTGCATTTTTCCATCAAGCCCAATAGGTTCACTTCACAAAGCCAGCACACCAGGATAAGAGTTAATCTTTTCCATAAAGTGACAGTTGTTTTTAGTCCAATAATACCTTAAAATGACAGGTAAATGGCTGAATATAAATATCATTTTGCTAAAGCTAAACCCATTGATTTAACAGCTTTTCAGAGCAGTTACATTCAAGCATGCCGGGAATGCTGTCACATTTGTTTGTGCTCTCAACCGAAATGTCAAGCCGTCAAATGGCTGGTGCAGCAGCTGATCACTGTGCACCATGACAACTGCAGATCAAACAGAAGCTAAGATGGCAGCTTCCTTGGCTGCAAAGGATGAGAGGGTTTGAAAGAGAAGTGCAGGACGTGACATAACAAACCTACATACTCACCTACTGTAGGTGGAGAGGCTGAACCAGCTGCCAGTCAAGGATCTTGGTGGATCCCGACATTAAAGTTGGGATCTCCTCAGAGTCTGGGCCAGCAGAGTGATGCCAGACAACAGCGGGCTTTATCCCACTGTCAACTGTATATAGGTCACTGGAGTCAGAGGTGCTGTTAGGAACCACAGGGCCCCATACAGCCAACCTGACAGGGCCTGCCCCCCCCCAACAAAAACAACATAGATTACTATGCTTCAGTTATGAATGAACACAGTGAGCGATTGTTACCGATCACTCATTGTATTCATTCAGGAAAGTAAGGGGCTGATAAATGTGACATCAAAATGTGACATATTTACCGGACCCTTCCCCCACTCTCCATCCTGAAGGATCCCATTGTGTGCTTGCAGCTGCAGGTGGGAAGCAGAGGGGGGAAGCCAGCAGCACTGCAGGGATGGGGGCACACTGGGGGGCCTGGGCAGCAGGCGGAAATGTATGGTGTACAGGGATGGTCAAGGGGGTAGCGGGGGGCAATTACTGGAACCCATCCCCTGTATGGCTCTCTCTGCAGCAGCTGAAAACCAGCGGGAGGGAGAGGAAAAGAAGCCAGCTTTCAGCCATACAGGGGATCGGTTCCAGTAATTGTCTTTCACCCAGCTGCCTGGGCCCCCCTGCTGGCCTGGGCCTCATACAGGAGGACTGGTGGTACCCCATTATCCACGGCCCTGACTGGAGTGCAAAATGAAGGTCACTCCTGTGATCCCCAGAAGTTCAGCCAAAAGAGCTACTTCTCCTTTAAGTTCCTCTGTAAAATGTCTGTCCAGGAAAAATGATCATTTTGATTTTGCAAGGTGTCCACAGTAAATAGACCCGGACATTATACTAATATAAATGTACCTGGTGGTCCTGCCATTAAGGCTTTGGTCACACTGAATCTGACTTTGAAATCGCGCGACTTCACTTGTCAAAGTTGGATGTCAGTGCGACTTCAGATGTGACTTGACATCTGTGCGACTTCACTTGTCAAAGTTGGATGTCAGTGCGACTTCAGGTGTGACTTGACATCTGTGCGACTTCACTTGTCAAAGTTGGATGTCAGTGCGACTTCAGGTGTGACTTGACATCTGTGCGACTTCACTTGTCAAAGTTGGATGTCAGTGCGACTTCAGGTTTGACTTGACATCTGTGCGACTTCACGCACAGATGTCTGTTCAAGTCGTACCTGAACTTGCAAAAAGTAGTACTTGAACTACTTTCAAAATCGGTGCGACTTTGACTGAGTCAGGGTCACACCGATTTGACCGCTTCTATTGCGGACAATAGGGTGTGACTTGTCATGTGATTTTAAACTACCAAATCGCATGACAAGTCACACCAGTGTGACCGGGGACTAAACCCCATGTGACCTGATTTCCTGCTCTGGCCCAACAATGCTCTTCAGCCATATGCAAATAGACTGTGCACAGAAGGATCTCTGAATGATACAAAATAAATCATGGATAAAGTGCTGAATTGCAACATCTTCTATCTGCAACATACAGTATCTTCCTCTTGAGCAATACATAGCACAGCCCACAGAAAAAACAATGTTACAAAACGCCATCTTCATTGTAGCAAGTCTATATATGAAGCACAGATTCCAGCTGTCACAGTGACACTTCAATGACAACAAGCTCAGAGAATCCACCACTCTTTAGGAGGAGTCTTTAGTCTGGTTTTAGGCCCCAATGAAGAGCATCTGCCATAAATAAATGAAGACTAGGCAAATATAACCTTTTGCTGCAGGCGGTGCAGTTAGATCTCTCTAAAACTGAATTTTAGGAATGGATATTGTTACATAGTTACAGTGCTCCAGTTTGGACCAATGTAATTATGCATGTACCATAGTTGTGGGATACCTCTAAATCAGCATCTCAGCTAGGATTTTATGGAACGCAAGGTTTCCTCCAGAGATTGCTAGAGGTTCCTTTGTCTATGGCTGATTGATCTCCTATTTGATGGTGTCTATAGTGTTCTAGGACCCATGTCACTTGGCAAAGCCAGAGGTATGACACCAATGTTTCTGTTTTCGCTGTCTTTAACCACTTGCCCTTCAGAGTATTTACCCCCCTTCCTGACCAGGCCATTTTTTGCATTATCGCGCTGAGTTATTTTAACTTGTTGCCGACCGCAGATAGCCGAATGACGGCTGCACTGCGGCCGGCCAGTTCTGAGTGGACGTCATATGATGTCCCCCCCAGAACGCGCTCTCCTGCGCGCCCCAGGGGGCGCGCACACCGGCGATCTCCGTGATCGCTGTTTCCTACGGACACAGCTGATCACGTGATGTGGTAAAAAGGCCAATCACAGCAGCCTTTTACCACCTGATCAGCGGTGTCCAATGACACGCTGATCAGAGGGAAATGCAAGTGCCGGTTCTCGGCTGCACTTTCCTCACGCTGTCAGATCGTGAGAAAAGTACTGCCGAGAACCGGCAGTTGTCAGAGCGGGGATCGGCACCGATCATCAGGGCACTGATGATCAGTGCCCTGATGATCGGTGCCCAGCAGTGCCACCTGCAAGTTCCGCCCACCTGTGCCCTGCAGTGCGCCCACTAGCTCCGCCCACCTGTGCCCAGCAGTGCACCCACCTGTGCCCAGTAGTGCACCCACCTGTGCCACTCTGCAATTTCACACACCTGTGCCCAGAAGTGCCACCTACCTGTGCCCAGCAGTGCCACCCACCTGTGCCCACCCACCTGTGCCCACCAGTGCCACCCACCTGTGCCCACCCACCAGTGCTGCCCACCAGTGCCACCCACCAGTGCAGCCCAGCAGTGCTGCCAGTCAGTGCCACCAGTCAGTGCCCAGCGGTTGTGCCAGTCAGTGTCGCCAGTCAGTGCCCAGCAGTGATGCCAGTCAGTGCCGTCTATCAGTACCCATCATTAGTGTCACCTATCAGTGCCGCCTATCAGTGCTGCATATTAGTGCCGCCTATCCGTGACACCTCATTAGTGCTGTCTATCAGTGCCGGCTATCCGTGCCACCTCATTAGTACTGCCTATCAGTGCCCTTTAGTGCTGCCTATCAGTGCCCATCAGTGCCGCCTATCAGTGCCCATCAGTGCTGCCTCATCAACGCACATCAGTGAAGGAGAAAAATTACCTGTTTGAAAAATTTTATAATAGAAACAAAGAAACTTTTTTTTTTCAAATTTTTGGCAATTTTTTATTTATAGCGCAAAAAGTAAAGTGCCCAGTGGCGATTAAATACCACCAAAAGAAAGCTCTATTTTTGAGGAAAAAAATGATCAAAATTTCATATGGGTACAATGTTGCATGACCGCGCAATTGTCAATCAAAGTGCGGCAGCGCTGAAAGCTGAAAATTGGCCTGGTAAATAAGGGGGTATAAGTGCCCGGTAGGCAAGTGGTTAACTGACAATTATGCTGTCATGCAACTCTGCACCCAAATGAAATTTGCGTCCTTTTTTCCCACAAATTGAGCTTTCTTTCAGTGGTATTTGATCTCCTGTGCATTTTTTATTTTTTTGCGCTCTAAGAAAAGACCAACAATTTTGAGAAAAAACAATATTTTTGACTTTTTGCTATTAAACGTGTACAGTAAAAAAATTTAAAAGATCAAATTTCGTCATAAAGTCTTTGCTAAAAAAACAAATCCCAATACGTGTAAATTTGTTAATTGGTTTGCATGAAAGTTATAGTGTTTACAAATGATGGTATATATACTTAGATTTTTTTTTTTTTTTCTTACTAGTAATGGTGGCGATCAGCGACTTATAGCGGGACTGCGGCAGGCATTCTGACACTGGGGAGAACTGACTTGGTGACACTAATACAGTGATCAGTGCTAAAAAAAAGCACTGGCACTGTACTAATGGCACTGAGCAGGAAGGGGTTAACATGAGAGGCAATAAAAGGGTTAACTGTGTGCTGTGTATTCTCGGGGCTTTTTCAAACAGTTGGTAAGATTACTGTCCCCTGAAAAGCAACTTGGGGTGTATTGTTTTTCAGTGCCCACAATAACAGCAACTGGCAGTTGTTCAGGAGGCACTAATGCTGCCTCCTGAAGCCTGTTTTTTTTCCCACTTTTTTACATTGCTGAAAGGCAATTTTACATTGGAATGGAGCTAGGCCAGTGGAAGTTCTGAAGGCAGCCACCTACCTAAATCAGCTCTCAGGACTTAGACTGAATGAGTAATCCTGCACCCCCTGTGCCAGTTAAAGTGGAGCGCCACCCAAAAGGGGAAGTTTCACTTTAAGCATTTGTCTCCCGCTCCCCATTAAGGATTGGCAACTTTGGGAAGTGGGTACCCGAATTTGACAGGTACTCCCACTTCCACTGTGATCGCCTAGGCAATCGGAAGTGGAGGTTGTCCTCCTCCCTCCCTCCCCATAGTCTTCTGGGACACGTGACAGGTCCCAGAAGACTACGGGGCTATTCACAAAGTGCAGCGCCCGGCTGTGAAGCCGCAAACTGTCACAGTTGAGTGCCCACACTGAAGATGCTGGTGCCAGGGAGAGAAGACGGCTGGTGAAACCAGCGGGGGTGAGGACACTGCTGGATTGAGGGACAGGTAAGTTTCTGTATTTTAAAAGTCAGCAGCTACAGTTTTTGTAGCTGCTGACTTTTTTTTTTTTTTTTTACAAGTGGAACTCCACTTTAAGAGGCAAACCTGATTAGCTCCTTACCGGGGACTGTTTCCTCTTAAAGTGTCTGGCACTGAATCCCTTTGTCTAGGGATTCCCTCAGGCAGCTGGTTAAAAGAAGGATTATCGAGCAGGTACGGTGGCTAAATGGTTAGCACTTCCACCTGGCAGTACTAGGGTTGTTGGTTCGAATCCCAACCATGGCACCACCTGCCTGGAGTTTGCATGTTCTCCCTGCACATGTGCCTGCATGGGTTTCCTCCCACACTCCAAAGACATGCTGATAGGTGAATTGGATCCTGTCTAGAATTGTCCCTAGTATGTGTATGTATGTGAGTTATGGACCTTAGATTGTATGCCCCTGAGGGTCAGGGACTGATGTGAATTTACAATATATATATGTAAAGCACTGTGTATTATTATTATTATTACTACGAGTTTATATAGCGCCAAAGGGTTTGCTCAGCGCTGTACAATAGGGGGGGACAATACATGGCACAGTACAACAACAACAAACAACGTACGAGGGGTAAGAGGGCCCTACTCTTACGAGCTTACAATCTAGGAGGGAGGGGGTAAAGGTACAGTAGGAAGTGGCTGAGGGGGATGAAGTGGTGGGAGGAATGAGGGAGGATGGCCATTAAGTGAGGGTGGGGTAGGCTTCCCTGAAGAGATGGGTTTTGAGGGAGCGCCTGAATGTGAATAGGGAAGGCGACAGTCTGATGGATTGGGGCAGTGAGTTCCAGAGGATGGGGGAGGACCTGGAGAAGTCCTGCAGTCGTGCATGGGAGGAGGAGACCAGGGAGCAGGATAGAAGGAGGTCCTGTGAGGAGCGAAGGGTACGGGTAGGGTGGTACTTGGTGATCAGGTTGGTGAGGTAGTCAGGGGCAGTGTTGTGAACGGCTTTGTAGGTCAGGGTTAGGAGTTTAAATTTGATGCGTTGGGCAATCGGGAGCCAGTGGAGGGAGAGGCAGAGGGGGGTGGCAGAGGTGGAGCGGGTGGTGAGGTGGATGAGTCTGGCAGCTGAGTTCAGGATGGTCTGGAGCGGGGAGAGCCTGCACTTGGGTAGGCCAGTGAGGAGGGAGTTGCAGTAGTCAAGGCGTGAGATGATGAGGGAGTGTACTAGAAGTTTGGTGGTGTCTGGGGTGAGGAAGGAGCGTATCTTGGCAATGTTGCGAAGATGGAGCCTGCATGTGTTTGTGAGTGATTTGATATGCGGTTGGAGGGAGAGGTTCGCGTCAAGAATGACGCCAAGGACTTTGGCTTGCGGGGCGGGAGTGATAGTGGAGTTGTTGGCGATGATGGATAGGATGGGGGGGGGGGGTGTTGGCAGGGGGAAAGATGAGGAGCTCGGTTTTGGAGAGGTTGAGCTTGAGGAAATGTAGCGACATCCAGTCTGAGATGTCATTTAGGAGGTGAGTGATGCGGGCGGAGAGATAGTGGGGGTGAGGTGAGGGGTGGAGAGGTAGATTTGGGTGTGTCGTCAGCATAGAGGTGATAGTTGAAGCCGTGAGATTGTATGAGTTTGCCCAGGGAGGAGGTGTAGATGGAGAAGAGAAGGGGTCCAAGGACAGAGCCTTGGGGGACCCCAACAGAGAGGGGGAGGGAGGGGGAGGTGGCACCATTGTAGGTGACACTGAAGGAGCGTCGGGATAGGTAGGATGAGAACCAAGAGAGAGCAGTATCTCCGATGCCAAGGGAGAGTAGTTTATTAAGGAGGAGGGGGTGGTGGTCAACTGTCAACTGTGTCGAAGGCCGCAGAGAGGTCCAGGAGAAGGAGGACAGAGTAGTCGCCCTTGGCTTTGGCGTTTGAGTAGGTCGTTAGTGATTTTGAGGAGGGCAGTTTCAGTGGAGTGTAGGGGACGGAAGCCGGACTGTAGAGGGTCAAGGAGGTTATTGTCTGTAAGGTGGGCGCTTAGGCGATCGTAGACTATGCGTTCAAGGAGCTTGGAGGTGAGTGGCAGCAGGGAGATGGGTCTGAGGTTGTTGGGGTCCGCGGGATCCAGGGAGGGCTTTTTGAGGATGGGGGTGATATGCGCGTGCTTTAGGGGGGAGGGGAATACGCCAGTAGAGAGGGAGAGATTGAAGATGTGGTGGTGTGAGGGAGCGGATGAGGGAAGAGGGGGGTGACCGGAGGAGTTGAGAGGGGATAGGGTCCAGGGGGCAGGTAGTGAGGCGGGCTTTTGAGAGGACTTTGGCGACTTCCTCAGTAGTGACAGGGCTGAGGGAGTGCAGTGCGGGGGGGTTTATGGTGGGCGGGGCATTGGGAGAGGAGGGGGGCAGTGCGGTTTGTGAGGGCAGAGGAGGGGGGAGATGAAGGGGTGACGGGGGCGAGGAGGCTAGGTGGGGAGGTAGATTGCAAGTTGACGATGTCCTTACGGATAGCGTCAATCTTGTTGTGGAAATGGGTAGCAATCTCGTGGGCGGTGAGAGAGGTACTGAGTGGTGGAGGGGGGGGGGGGGGGGGGAGAGCAGGGAGTTGAAGGTGGAGAAGAGTCGGCGGGGGCAGGAGGAGAGGGTGTTTATTAGGTTAACAAAGTAGGCCTGCTTGGCGGCGTGGAGGGAGGAGGTGTAGTAGATAGAAAAATGCAGATTTGTAGAGGGAGAAGTATGAGGGGACCTGGTTTTGCGGCGCCACAGTCTCTCCAGTGCGCGACTGCGACGTTTGAGGCGTTTAGTGCTGTCGGTCTGCCAGGGTTGAAGCGGTCTGGGTTTGATGATGCGTGTGGTTAGGGGTGCCAGAGAGTCTAGGGCAGCTGACAGTGAGTCATTGTACAAGGTGGTGGCTATGTCAGGACATGACAGTGGGAGGATGCTATCGTGTAGGCAGTCGGCGGCAGAGTGGAGGGGGGCCGGGTTCAGGTTGCGGAGGTTGCGGCTGGTGATGGTTTGGCGTTTTTGAGGGGGGGAGTTGGGGGAAGGGGAGATGGAGAAGGTGAGGAGGTGGTGGTCGGAGAGAGGGAAGGGGGTGTTCGAGAACTGGTTGAGGGTACAGAGGTGGGAGAGAAGACAAGGTCCAGGGTGTTCCCTCCGAAGTGGGTGGAGGATTGAGTGTGCTGTGTGAGCGCGAAGGAGGAGGTTAGGTGGAGGAATTGGGAAGTAGCCGGGGTGTTGTCGTTGAT